CTGAGGGTGCACTCCATCCAGCTGTCCATGTTTCTGACAAGGATGTTGAACAGTGCTGGTCCCAGTACTGACCCCTGAGGAACACCACTCGTCACTGTTCTCCACTTGGATGTTGAGCTGTTGATCACAACTCTTTGTGTGCGACCAATATACTATACATTTGTTTACTGTGAATGAGCAAAGAGGTGATGTTTGCATTCTGTATTCAATAACTACTTGTGCTCAAAGTTTGAAATACTCCCTTGCCTACATGCCTTGTTTTGCAAGCATTTGTTACTAAGCAGTGTGCCTTCTATTCAGAGAAGTTGGTCACATTGGTGCAAGAATGGAGACTACACAGGCTGCCTGAATTCTCAAAAAAATATGCAACACAGCAAAAACTGCAAGGTGGAGACTTAAGCACAGACCTGACCCACCTGCTCACTGCTCATCAATCTCTTGCATCCCAAAGCAGCGGCAGCTGTGCAAGTACTATTTTAAAACAAAACAAAAAAACCCAACCAAACAAAAAAACCTCATACATAAAGATGTATCAGCATCAGGTGCACAGTCATAATCCTGGTCCCTGTATGCTGTAGACAGTGAAGAGTATTAAAACATTCTTGAATTGCTTCCTATGTGACTTGGATCATCTAGTAACATGAATGGAGCAATGGGTAATTCTCCAAGCCAGATATTCTCTTCAGCCTTCTCTAGTTTTTGTGTTTGAGCCAAATCAGAAGGCTTTCTGCTTGGGTGACACATGATAAGCCATCGTGCGATTGTATTCTAGATCACCTTGGCTAAGTTCCCATAGGTGCTTGATCCCTCTGGGTTAGAGGGTGAGCGCACCTGATAATTGCTTATCTACCATGTAATGTGATAAGTAAATGCTGGGCTGCTAAATCTTCCTGTACCTGGACATGCCATCTGCCCCATGGACTAATGTGCCTGCCAACCACTGCACGGTAGGGATGTGAGTGGGGTAGTCACTGCCATTTCTGTGTCTCTGTCCTCTGCAGGATGAATAATGGGCCTGTTGTAGGGTATGAAGAGGATGTTGGGAGGAGGACGACTTTCCGCCTTTCTTACCCGGAATCCATCTTCTCAGATCCCATCCACTACGACCCTAATACAACTGTTGTTCTCATCGTCTTCAAACCACGTGACTTGAAGTGGCTCTGGGAGATACTAGGTGGTCAGAAAATAGTGAGTTTAATTATTCATGCACTTTGACTTAGCTTGCCACTCACCTCTCGTAAAATATTGCATTTGCTTTTAACCTTAGCACTGGATTTCCCAGTCAGTGTGCTTAGTTTCCCTTTCCCATAAATTCTTCTGTCCTCTTTCTCACCCACTTAATTGATCAGTTCCTCACCCCAAAGCGGTTTTTCTCTTGGAAATACCTTTTTATCTTTTTCCTAGTACTGTTTCATATTCTGACACGTATGCTCGAGACATTCCTCAGGTTATTTTATCTTACATACTTGGTAGAATTGCAGAGTAATGTTGGAAGGTACTTCCCTCTGGAAGTCTACAGTCCAAAACCCTGTTGAAAGAAAGTAGGGCCAAGTTCAAAGCCATACGAGGTTCTCAGGGCCTCATCCAGGTAAGTTTTGAGTATTTCCAGGGATATTTCTATAACCTCTATTTCAGTGCTGCAGAATTTCTCTTCATGCTTTCACTGTGCACTTCTGAGAAGAGGCTGATCCTGTCTTTTTTTGTAAACCCCTACCAGATAGTTGGTGGGCTGAACAAACCCAGCCTCCTCAGACCCATCTTGTTTGCTGTGTTCTCTAGCCCCGCAGCTGATTTACTGGCCCTCTGCTGAGCTTGCTCCAGTTTGAACGCTGTCTTGCACAGGGAGGAACCCAAAACAGCGTTTGTGAGACTGCAGGAGGGCACAGTACAACATACTTGAGAATGATAACTTCTGTTTGCCTGTTCTCTATGCTTTTATTAATGTGGCCAAGCACACAATGAGCGTTTACTGCCTCCAGGGCACGCTGCTGGCTCATGTTGTCCATCAGGGACCTTTCTGCAGAGCTGTTTTCCAGCCAGCCTCTGCTGCTGCAGTGGGTTATCCTGTTGCCGGAGCATGATTTGGCACGTGTGTTTTTTGAACTTTGGAAGGTTCAACACTCCTTCTTCAGCTTCCTGCCCTTGGATTTTACTCTAGTTAGAGTTGCTACAAAATCAACTGTTCGTAGCTGTTAAAAACGTGCATTTGCTTTCCTGTTACAGAGTGCTAAAGGCTTTTGGAAGAAACCAGCCCTGAACATGATATACAAATCCAGTCAAATCAGGATTCTTGATCCTAGCATCACCAGAAAAACGGCTTATGAATGGCTTCGTTTCCCAACAAGGTTTCCGAAAAAGGAGGTAGGTTTTTTTCTCCTGTGCCTTTTAGTTTTGTGCAACCAAACATGTACTCAGAGGCACTCTTTATTGTAATGGACTATGTTAGAACATCTTTTAGGTTCACATTGCATTAGTCTGCATTTAGATGTTCCTCAAAAAAAGATGGGAAAATGGAAACCAGAAAGAAAGCAGGTAGCCTTGTATGCCAAAAATCTCTTTTTATGGATTCTGTAATTAGTATTAGACTGCTTTTGTGGACAGACATAATGCTTTTTGCAAAAGTGGGCAAAGCAGACAGGCATTGGAACACGGCAGATTGAAAGAGCCTCTAGAAATATTAAGGAGTCTTGAATTATTAAATGTAGGGTGTTTTATAGTTTTTATTAAAAAAGCAAAATAAAACAACAAACCAAACCAAACTCAAACAAGCCACAAACAACAAACAAACAAAAAACCCAACAACCCCCGCATAAAAACCCCACACCAAACAAACAAAATGACCCCAAAAACCAACAACCCAGTAATTCTAACACTGCTGCAATTTCAGTCTGCTGGGGGCAGGTGGGGACTAGGCAGCATACGGTATATTACAGCCTGCGCTAATGACACATGTCTAGCAGCATTCTTCTGCTTACTGATTTGATGCCAGACATTGTAATAAGTTAACCGACAATTTGGACATAAAAATACGTTTTAACTGTCAGTTTATAACTGAAGAATGTTTCTGATCAAAGGTAAGGCTTCAAGCTGGAGACCTCCCTTGCGCAGTCAGGACTGGCCGCGTGCTGTTTAGCACAAACACGATTCCCTGGGGTCACATCGTTGCCCAGAGCCACTTCATCGGGATCAGCCAACTGACACATGTGGAAGTGTTTGACAGGCTGTCACTGTGGAGTATCTACCACAACTCTTTTCTTGGTTTAATCTTTCTAATATTTGAGGGAGTCACATTTTTTTTCTTTTGGGTTTTTTTGGTGCTTTTTTTCTTTTATCTTTTTTAATTTTTTTTTTTTTTTGAGCCTACTAGTGGCTTTTTCCTCCCTTATTGACTCTCAAACTGGAACACCCAGTTTGGCTGCATGCTTGATGGGGCTCTGTGGCATTTCAGCTCTTCAGCTGAGGGTGGGAATAAAGCAGCATAGTGGTTGGGTGCGTAGTGATCTCCTAAAGGGCCACAGGACATCCGTGGCCTCCATGGCTCCAGAAATCCTTCCTGTCTCTTCCTGTGCTCCCCTCTCAGGGAGGGTAAAAGTTAAGACCAGTGCTGTCAGTGAGCCAAGCAGATGTGCATGGTGTCCTGGAGCTGGTACAGAGGCACAGGCCCCTCGGTCGCTTTGGGTGGTGTGCATGCTCTCTGCTCCTCTCCTGCTCGCTGGGTGCCCCTGCCCAGAGCTGGGGCAGAGGGCGTCCAAGCTTGGAGCCCCTTTCTGCCACCTCTACATCCCACTCGCTCTGTGCCAGGGGTTTTGCAGCTCCTCGTCCCCGTCACGCCTCGAGGGTTCCTGTTGGCGGGGCAGCCTTTTGCAGGACCCGCTTCGGAGCCTTCTGTCCCGGTGGTGCACCCCTGAGGAGGGCTGGCGCTGCCTCCAGCGCTGTCCCGTGCTTCAGCTTCAGCCCCCTCGGCCTGCAGGAGACGCCGAAGACTGCTACTGCTGTTGCTTCCCCTGCTGTCTCTGCCTTTTCCATTAAGCCAATCTCGTGTTCCCTGCGGTGCGCGTTTGTGCGTAGTCCAGCGAGCGTTTCTGTTTCTTTGTTAGCGACTGTGATGGTGTTGGCAGAGCCGGGAAGAACAACTGTGAAATCGGATGTGCTGCCCCAGCAGCACTGAAGTCTGAAAGTGTTGCAGAGTCATTGCGGAGCTCTGCCTATTCCCATTGAACATGACTGGCTGAACAAATCTCATTACATGCCGAGGATATCTGGATATTGCTAGGGCGCTAGTGTGACAATGCATTTTAAAAGTAGCGTTGTTTCTTTAGTATATTCTTTTGAGGTGAACTTTATGGTAGCCAAAGGTAAACAGAGCTAGGTTGCAACCTGTGATATTCTTGATGTTCCAAATAGCACTAATCCTGACATGTAGCATTCCTGAGATGGTGTGTCCCTGCCATAATTTTTGGGTCCTGTTTAGTATGGACATTGCAACAAAGTCACTGCTAAGTTTATAATATTGGACCCTCAGGGCAGAAAGTTGTTTAGCTAACTGGCAGGAGCCCTGGGCAGTAGTGTGCATTTTAAGTTGATGTTATTTCTGGAGTACTCCAAGAGTTGTGTAAAGGCACAAAAAAAAACCCAACAAAACTATGTAAAAGGTGATAGTTCAATTCTGTGACTTTAATTAGGCTTATGGAGCTGAAGTTAGTAACTTTTTCCTTGGGATTTGTTCTTTTATCATATGATACAAAGAAATATTTTTCTGTATCATTGAGTGTATCTGCCTTCTCTCTGTACAGAGTTGTCCAGTACTGGTTTGCCTGCTTTGTTTTCAGAGGCAAATGAACTGAGCCTTGGGTAAGAGTTCAAAAAAGTATATGATTTTGTGCTCAGTTTGAGGTTTCGTTGCAGCTACCGGAAGTGTGTAGTCATTTGGTCTCTGAGAAAATGGTTATTTTAGCTAAGGAGGGCATTAGTGCCTGAAAGTTTTGCCCATTTCTGGGGGCACGTTTTCCTCTCAGCTTCATCTGTTGGTCTAATGAAAGAGTTCACCTCTCTCCACAAACCTTGCCTCATTCACTTCCCCAGATCATTTTAGCCACTGCTGCTGAGAGAGTCATGTACTTGATCACAAGATGGGACGGATAGTTGCAATGACTTGTTCTATGCTCTTGTAAGAAATGCTAATTTTCAGTTAGGTGCTCTTAATTTTGCACAGTTAAAACCTGTTCATGATCTGCTCGTGATATTTTACGTTGCCTTTACTTCTGAGCTATCTCACTGTAGGGCGAAATAAGCAATTTTATCTACAGTTTCTTTTCTTCTAATGGAAATAGTGGGGGAAGGTCTCAAGCCTTGGTGTTCTGGAATTTCCCTGCTTTGAAAAAGTTCAAATGCAGCCAAATTTATGCAGCAGTAGCATTCATGGTTTTTTTTTTCATTTGGTGTTACAAAGATTTGAGGCATGTCATGTTATTCTTTTCGTCTGGATCTCCATCATCTAGAAACTTCTGAATGCATCTGCTAATTCAGTCAAATCTGACGGGGTGAAATGGTCTCCAATGTATTGAAGCCTGACCAGTTTCATGCAAGTAGGTTGCTGAGCAGAGGGATGGGGAGACCTTCATGTTGTCTCTGCTGAGGGATGGGCTACACTGTGGGCTCAGCCCTCACTAGACACTGGAGGATCCCAGGGAAGGCTGACGCAGCAGACACACTGGTCATGGAAAATCTGTGGGAAATACCTTACTCCTTATGAGACATGAGGGGATCTAACTTCAAAACCAAATGTCCATAGAAGAGCCAGGCTGCCTGGTTTCCACTACCTTCGTTCTTAGGTTTGCTGTTCTTGTCAAGTTATGACAGTGATTTATGTATGTGTGCTCTTTGTGTTTCATTTTAGAAACCCAAGCATCCAACAACAGGGCTAATAGCCATTACGCTCGCATTTCACATATGCCATGAAGTTCACCTGGCAGGCTTCAAGTACGACTTCACTGACAGAAACAGTTCTTTGCACTACTATGGCAACGACACGATGTCTCAGATGATGCAGGTACCAAACACTTGTTAATGCTGACAGAAATATAGCTGGTAACTGGGGAAAACTATTCGATATAGATACAAGTGTGGACTGTAGGTCAGAAAGGGCTCCCGTCTTCTCCTGGTTCAGCTGCTCATGGGTTAACATTGCTTGACTCTTTTTCTCTCTGCTTTTCTTTCTAAAAAAATGCGGATGATGATATTTGTGTCCCTTGTGCTACACCATGTTCTGTAATGTCTGCATGAGATAGATCCATTTGTATGTTCTGTTTTGCTTTGCTGGCATTACCCTTGGGCTATGCAGCTCTTTTTCATAGAGGCGTATTTGCTAGCGCTGTCAGAACATGAATGGCGTTGTTTCTGTTTGTATTCTCTTTTTCCTTGGCACCTACTTGCGCAATTTGTCATAGTTGCCAAACCTCTTAAAAAAGAGAAAGAAGAGCAAAGGGAAATGGAAGGAGTTAACACCTACAAACTTGCAGTTAGGAAAAGAACTGAATTTCAGAAATTGAAAGCAGAAAAGCAAAGCAGGTAGGAAGAGAAGGAACTGCTTCCAGGAGGGGGAAGCCACAGCTCGCCAGGAGAGGGAGCAGCAGGAGACTGGCAAACATCAGGGATGCCTTCTCCTTCCTCCTGCTTTGCTGCAGTCATGCCTCTCTTTTCTTTTATGTCTCTGCTCTCGTCTGCAGCTCTGTACTCTAAGTAACCCCATCTCAGCCCTTTACCTCAACATGAGCAGTTTTCTCTTTGATGTGCATGCCGGGTGCGTGTGGGGACCATTTTCTCTCCTCCTCCCTTTCCTGAAGAGGAAGGATAGGGGCAATGCCCATGGGAGCGCCTCGGGTCTCTCTGAGGACTCCTAGGTGCCTGCTGCTCTGAGATCATTTTCCTCTGATGCTGAACTCACGTTCATTTCAGGGCTCCTTGCTGCAGGTGCTTTTTTTGCAACGTATACAAGCATGGGTAAGGTTGATCACTAGTTGAACAGACATCCATAAGTTTCCTAAAATCTTCAATCTTTAAAAAACAAACAACTAAACAAAAGCCTCATCGCTAATTCTTTAGTGGCATTAAGTTGTAAATGTTATACTATATCTGTGTAATATTTTATGCAGTGTTTGTATTATATTCATTTTAATTTACTGGATTCAGTGTCGAAGATTGTCAGTAAACTTACTTGCCTTGTGCTGTCCTCCGCTAACCTCAGTGGTCTCTCGCGTATCCAGGATCTGGATGGAGCACAGATGGGCTGGTTTTGGTTTTGTCAAAACAGATTGGCAGGGCGCATCCAGTTCACGCCAGGCATCACATCAGATGCCTGACGTGTGCTTCTTGAGAACCTGCATGGAGCTTTGAGTCATTTTCTGACTGCTTGTGCTGTAAATGTGGTTATGCGGCTGTTCCCTCTAAGTGTGGGGAGGAGTTGGGAGAGTTAGTAACAGAAGGACTTCTGTGAGGCCACGTCTCACCCATTCTTGCTACTGAAGGATCATCCCTTTTGGTTTGTGTCCCAATGGAAAGTCTAAATCTAGTTTTCAGCAATAGAGTCACTCACCTGTTTTCTTGGGAGACTGTGCTACAGCCTTTGCTAAGAAGTCTTTTCTCCAGAGCTTTCCTACTCTTAGCATCTTCCAGGTATCACAAGTAGTTAAAAGGAAAGAACAACAAAGTGATGCTTCTGGTAATAATTTGAATTTGTTGGTTTTTATTATTCCCTCACATCTCTTTTAGAATGAATACCACAACATCAACGCTGAGCAGAAATTTTTGAAGAAGCTTATAGACAAGAACTTTGTGGTCAATTTGACGTGAAAGCTGAGTGTAAAATATGAAGAACAATCACTATTTTCAAGATTTGAAGATTTTTTATTTTTTGTATGACATTTTTATTTTTCAAGTGCAGCATAACTGTTTACTGTTTAAAAGGAGCACAGAAACCTCACCAAGGCAGAAGCTTCTTCAAAGCCAGAGCGTAATAGACTGTTGCAAACAGTTGACTGAATTTCTGTGAAGCTATTTAATAATGGGAAAACCGTGAAACTTTCAGCTGAAAGTATCAGGGATATATAAAAATGTGAGACACATCACTTATTTATCAGCAAGAACTCTTTCCAAATGATTACTTCTCTGGAATACTTTTGTTCTGATGTTGTCCTCCAAAAGAATTACACTGTCAAGAGACTGAGACAACCAGTGTTTAATTAGTAGATGGATGTTAAGTCCTGAATGTCTGTCTCGTAGAATGAAAATGGCTTTAAACCGATGCCTATAAATATTACTGCGTGTTTGGGAGAAGGGGGAACGTACAGAGTGTACAGGTTTTAGTCTGCCCTACTGAGGAGGGGATGGCCATCTTCAGGCAAGAAGCCACGGCTTCTGCACTGGCATTGACTCTGAACTGCTGCCCACCTTTGCCAACAGCGAAGACCCTTTGGTCTGATTTGTGGAGACGTTGGTATTGACAATGCTCGTGTTGTACCCTCTTTGTGGAAAAACCATAGTCCCCGTGCTGTGTGTCCAATAAATTTTAGGGTTGGTGACTTGACTTAGAAAAGAGGGAGTATGAAGACGGAAGAGTTGTCCTAACTACCTGCGTGTCCGCTGCTTCCCCCAGACCACAACAGAAACGTGAGCTGGGACAGAGAGATTGGCACTTGAGTTTAAATTTAGAGCCAACGTTTGTTGGATTCCTAGACCTCCAGGACAGGATCTCGTGTGTTTCTGTTCGCTCCCCAAGAATCGAGGTGTATTTCTCCAAACCAGCGCAATCTCCTTTCTCAAATGCTGTAATGTGTTTGCACCTTTGAAATGCATCAATATGAGCAATGAATGTTCCCGGTTTCGGCAGTAGAGCGTGCTAGGGAATATCCAAGATGTACCTCAGCTGAATTATTATTTGGCCTCTGTTTACCTCTCATGTCTTGACATTTAGGTTTAAAGGATGTGGCTGAACTAAATCATTTAGTGGGAACTTACTTGGGATTTTAATTGAAACATTTAATGGCACGTTTGTTTTCCTGCATTGGTTTGTCTCAGACAAGCCTGCTGAATAAGTTAAATCTGCTTGGGAATGTCCTTGACAACTGTCAAAGAAGAACAAGTGGTATGCTGTTCTAATTCTCTCATAGAGTGTAAATATATGGTTTTTTTAACTGTGGCAGATTTGCTTGAAGATCTCATGGTTATCTTGATCAATCACACCTAAAGAAGGCACAAAGAAGTCCACTTTAAAAAAAGTCGTAATAGCTGGTAGAAAAACCTTTGCTGCTTTTTAATAAAATGATATCAAGAGCTATAGTATGTTTAGGAGCAGTGCAAACAACTACAATACGAATGCAATCCTCTAGCAGCTCAAGAGCACAGCATTTGCCTTTTTCAGAAGCTGAGGATTACAGAAGTACTGAACACAATTTCTTTGCAGCAATGTAGAGGAATAAGCATGAAAGTGACCAAAGAATCATCTTTCTTTTTTCCTATTTCTCTTGTGGAGTGCAGTAGGTATCTAAGAAAACGCCAAGCCACACCTTCCCATAGTTCTCCTCTCCCTCTTTAGCCCCTTGGCGCTGCCATTTGGAAATTAGCGACGGGAGCTACAGCCGAAGGGGAGGAGGCTTGTGCTCTCACACCGTGTTTTCACCTAACGACTCCTGAGCTTTGGTCCATTTCAGGCAAATTGGATGCATCTGAAATAACTCTGGATGCCATAAAAATCTGTGGTGGGGGTGGGGAAGGATCCAGACGTGTCCCAGGAGGGGCAGGCTGTGCCATGGGGCCCATCTCCTGCAGGCAATGCTGCGGGTGATGGCCCCTTGTCCAGCCCTGCACAGGGAGGCAGACGAGAGCGTGGAGGAGAGGGGAGCTCGGGAGGTCCTGGGGGTACTGGAGCTGGTGACTGTGGTGGAAATGGAGGAAAACAGAATGTCCTCACGAGGTGGTGAGGTTATTCACGTTGCCTTTTCTTTTTTTAAACGTACACATTTCCGAGCCTTTGAAGAAGTCTTTGCTCAAAAATCTGCATACAAACAGGTGGGATTTTGCACCAGCAAAAAAGAGATATTACGGTCTTTAGTTCTACCAGCATTTGTTTCTCGTGATTATTTCAGTTAATTAAGAAGATTTGAGGTTTGCATGTGACTCTGCAGCCGCAGACACACAGTGACATAGACTACTGACAATAGCGATTTCATAGGGAAAAAATGCCGAGGTAAGGTCACGGTGTCGTCCGAGCTCTTTTCACATAGAAGCCCTTGGTGTACAATTCAGGCTCTGTTGAGAGCAGAGCCAGGCAGAAGTGGAGGCTTGCCTCTTCCCCCTTGAAACCTGTGGTCGCTCCCAGAGTCGGGTCCCCCAGCTCTCCCACGGGCTGCCACCGTGGATCCAGCCCCATCCATGTAACATCTCACAATATTGTGACCACGAGGATTTTTTTTCCAGGATTGCTGTTGAATTTCTCTCCTCACTGGTTCTTGCCATGGTGCAGGCCGCTTCCCCCTGCTTCTGCTTCTCCAGCCCTGTCCCTGGTGGCAGGAGGTATGTAGGGAGCTCTGCGATTATTTTCTCTGCTTTGTTTCCCCTTCCCGCTAATCTAAACTGATTCCTTCTCCTAATTTTCCTAGGAAGTTTTCTTTCTTTGGAGGAGGAGGGGGTTTGTTCTGCTGTAGTTAGAATCCAAACCAAATAATTGGAAAAAAGGCTTCATGGCAAATAAATGGCATCCCCCAAACTCTTTTTACTTAAAACAGACTTCTTTAGTCTTTTTTTTGTTTGGTTTTTTTTTTTACCACATCAGCTTTTTTGGTCTCCCTAGGATTTTTTTTATTTTATTTTTTTAAATTTTCTTTTGGATAATGTGTTTGATATTCTCAATGCATTGAATATGCTATCTACGAGCATTTATCCCTATTGACTGCTCCTTTTTATGTGTTCTTAATAAGCCTCCCCATTTGTATGACTGACTTCTTTCTGAAATTAAGCAGCACTCCCAGGGATATTTTTCTCTCATGTCTGTGCTCCTGCAGGGAGGGATGTTAAGTCCACGCGTGATGAGGTTGCTGTCGCAGGGTGGCTGAGTAAGGTTTAGAGCCGGACCTGTTCACTTGGGACTGAGCCAAGAGTTGATACGGTTGATAAACGACAGGGTACTGGGTTTTGGTGTTTTGTTTTTTGTTTTTGTTTTTTGGAAAGGACAGCTTGCAGGCCAGTAGCTTTTCTCTTCAGTAACAAGCAGTGAGCCAAGTGCTTCATTTTCTACCCACCCCCCTGCCCCCATAAGATGCAGGCTAGAATAACTGCACGTAACATGTTTCTCAGTAGCACCCACAGACACAGCAGTTATTCTGTCCAGGCACGTGTTTTCACAGGCGTTTTGCAATACCAGAGACTTGCCTTGGGACTTTTTGACAAAAGCAGTAACCCTAACTCCAAATACTTAGATCTTTTCCGAGAGTGAGCTGCTATTAAGATTTTCTATTTTTGCCATTCCTGAAACTGAAGTCTCTGCGCTGAAACTTCCCTTTAAAAGCTACCCTATTTTTTTTATCACATCAGCGGCAGTGAAGCTGTCAAATTTTGAATCCCAGGGTGCTGCCAGTTTTATTTCCGTGTCTGCTAGCGGTGTAACTATATAGGTACCCAGTGTCTCCCATGAATTTTCTTCTTGTATCAGTTGCAAAATCAGATGGTCTCATCCCTTCCTCCGCTGTCCTGTTCTCCAGCAGCCTGCTGAATTTCAAGACAGCAGCATCTTACAGCAAAGGTGCTCCTGTGTTTTATCTGCCACCTCCTTAGAGTGCTGCACCATCAGAAAGACCCAGCCCCGAGGTACCAAAGGCACAAACCAGGCAGGATGATGTGCATCAGCTGCAAGCTCTGTTCAGCTCAGACTTTCAGGGGGTTTTTTTTGTTTTCTGTTGGGAAAGTATTTTTTCTTCTGTTGTAATAATTAAGGGAAGTACAGTGATAGGACTTAAGAAGGAAGGTCACAAACTATTGCACTAAATACGAATCTGAGTGTGCCTAAAAGATATCACTAGATGACGTTTCCAGTGATGGTATTGGTGGTCATAATACAGAATCACAACTTGGGTATTTAATAATCAGCATGTAGTATCTCTTGTTTCCTATGCCACGCTTTCCTTTCTAACAGTGCCCTGGGAGGTAGTATAAATACCTTAACTTTTAAGTGGAGTCTGACTTTTAAGAACATCCAAAGCTCAACATCTGGTTTTGGTATCAGTAAGTATTTGTTTTATTTGCCATTTGTCTTAAGTTTTATATGCCTTTCAAGTGCCAGCTGTATTTCGAAGACATTCTTACAGTTGTTTCAAGTGAAATTTTGAATGCTACGAATGGAAAGAGATTATTTTCCTGTGAATAAATTGTGTTAAAGACAGTGCCCTCAGGCTTATTTTCCGCAAGGTCAGTATGCCGGGGGGGTGTGTGCAGATGCATGCCCAGTCCCATTGTTAATGCTGTGTAAAGTACACATGGTGTTGTCAGGTACAGTGTCGAGTTTCAGAACAAACTTTGGTGCTTAGTAGAGCAAACAAGGCTGAAAATTTTTGAACCTAGGTAGGCTGAGCTGTGCTGCGGGGTGGAGATCTCACTCCAGGCTGAGTAAAAGCAAAGCTGGGACATAGATTTTTGTGGGAAAGATCAAGAGCAGCATCCTGATTTTAATTTTTCTTGGGTTTTTTTTAATCTTGCCTGTCTTGGGGACTTCCGTTTAACTAAGAAGATGGTGAGTGACGAAAGACTTTAGATAGAAAGTGAGAGACGCTGATTGTGATACCTTGCTCGTGTTTTGTTTTCTTTTTGTGCAGTAAAAATGAGATGCCGGGGAGCGGGGAGCTGCTTAGCCTGTGGCTTCAGGGCATCTAAGGGAGATTTAGAAAGCAATTATCTGACACAAGTAGGTATTCAATGTGTTCATTTTTTTAGTATGAACAGTTTAGGAGTTTGCCAGCCTGGAGGAAATGCCTGTCTTTGAGGTGAGATGGGGGAGCCGCGCCATCGGTTATAATTTACTCCCTGCAATGGAGCCACAGTTGAATAGTGATGTAGATCAATGACAAATATGTTTCCACTTTTACACTAGGTTTTTGCTGCAGGTGGAAGAACGGTGAGAAATGGGAAAAGCTGTTTTCAAATTACAGGGAGAGCCGGGGACGTGGTGCGCATCTCCCAGCCCGGGTAGCCAGCTCTGGCTTTCTAGGCGAGCACAAAGCCTTAATGACGCGCCTCGACCACGTCTGACTTCTCGCACTGGCTTCCTGCGCGCTGCCCCTGTGCCTTTTTAAGGCGCGTTCCCTCGCTCTGTGAGTCCCCCCTGGCCCAGCCACGCTCTCCCGCTAGATGCGATGCTGGGACAGCACGTTCCCCCAGGGCAGGTTTTGCCAGTAGAGGGGAACTAAAGAAAAATATTTGGATTTTTTTTCATACTGGTCTCTCAGTGGTTTCAGAGAGTCCTTGTGCTCTGATATATGTATTCAGCGGCATGAATGTTCCTTCGAACAGTTCTGCTGAATGAAGACAGGATTTTTTTTTTTAAAGATATTTAATAAGATATTTTTTTCAAATCAGTACAAAAATTTTAAATACAAAATTATTTGCTTTTGACATATCTCTTATATTCTGGGAACATACCGAAGTCACCAATGCCTGGTAAACTGTCCGTCCGTTCCTGTCACCGTTCCATAAAATTTCTGAGATAAAGCACCACATTATATCACTGGAGTCCTTAGTCAATGTTAGACTGCATTAAACTCTGCATTTAAATAATGGTAATGCCAGTTAAATCCAATCTTAGTTCTGCATGAAAAATCTAGTTCGTTTTGAATCAAAAGCAGTAGCGTTAGCTAAAGACATTGAAGAAGTGATGAGTATTTAACTCTTTCAACTAGCGCAGCAGTGTGTGATGTGCAGCACTGTACAGGGAACGACAGCAGAGTACACTACCTTCTGGAAACGAATACTTTTGAGGTGAGATTAGCACCACTGACGAACAGACAGCTCTTGCAGAGAAGTTGCTTTCCTCACGTACAGAAAGGATCGAGGCCTGCAGGTTCTCCTTGACAATTGGTAACATATAAATAAGGATTGGAAATCAGCTTTTATATAAAAATGAAATTCTTAGATAAATTTGCATGATCAGTACTGCTGGTAAAATTATCAGTTGATCTCAAACAGCAAATGAGTTAATTAGCACACAGACCTACTTCTGCTTTGCCCAGTCACTGAAGAGTAAACTGATTTATCTGTCACTGAGTGGCAGAAGAGGTGCCACTTCTGGCTTGCCAAACAGGATGCAGGTTCTCAGCATGAGCACAGAAACCCAAGCAGATTTCTACCGCCCTGCTGTACTGCCACATGTTGGCCAAAATGCCTCAATCACGTGGCACAAAGCAAATGGGGAACCCTTCGGTTTTGTCTCTGATCTACCTCATCTACTTCAACCGTGCAAATGCAGAGGGAGGCTTTTTGAGGGCTGTGGCACTTGGAGGTGAGCCCAGGCCTGCTAGAGTCAGCGGCAGCATTCTGGGTCCAATGACTGCTGGAGAAGGCTCATGGGGAATAGTTACATCGTTGATACTCCTTTTCCATCATAAATAAATTGTTCGGGGGAAAAAACACACCTGCATGAATATTTCCTATGGGGGAAAGGGAAATAAAGCTCTCCAGCTAAGAGAACCTTTGCTTGTCAGGCAGACCTGCTGTCAAAAAATCCCCCCAAATCCCCACCCAAACAAATAAAAAGCCACTCAATTTTTCCATATAATTCGAGACCGACCTACTCTGGTTTAAGTCACCGGTTTTCATCTTGCAACTATGATCAATGCAACAGTCAAATATGCAATGGGAGTGAGTGACATACGCTGATTTGAACCTTGGTACTGAATTATTGTGAATGAAATGAAGTAAGCATGGCATCACAGAAATATATAACGTACAGCTAATATGTCCCCCTCGGGTGCAAAACAACTGTTTATGAACCTGATACACATCTTTAGATACGTTCACCACACTTTTTTTTTTTTATAACTAGCTGTGCATAATGTTAAACTTTGTATTTATTTATTTTTTGCACAAGATGGTCCAAAATGGTCATAAAATGCATCTTTCATGGTATAAGTTTGAAGCAGAGAAGAAAGGTTTTGATTTTGTGTGTATGTGTGTGTGTGTCTGGTTTTTTGTTTTACATGGGATATAATAAATATCCTGAAAAAGACGAATGAACGTACTGCCCGGCATAGAGTCCTGCCGCCTGCTCGGATGGCATTTGAACGTAAACCTTGTCTCCGTGCATCAGCGGAACAACGGCGCTGCCCGAAGCCTGATCCAGGAAGCCCTTCTTGTATTCATCGTACGTATACATCAGTGGCTCGTTGTTCTTGAACAACGCAACCCAAACGCTGGCCCCTTTACAGTGGACGTGGTAGGCAAAGTAGTAGACACCAGGGATCTCGCAGGTGAAGATCCCCGTTTGGGGGTTGTAGTTCTGCCGGCCATTGTAGAGGAGCTTGTCGAACTTCACAGGCACCCCGACCCGGGGGAAGGGGGTGAGGAGCTCTGCCGTGAATGCGGGCATCTCATAGACGGCACCAGCAGCCTTGCCTTTCTTGCCCATGTAGCCATAGGGGGGCTTGACGCCCTCTATCCCCGGCCCAACCTCGGGCAAGTACTGTCCCACAGCTGGTGGAGTGGGTGGGATGATGACTGGGGGACCTGGG